CTGTCTCTCTCTCTCTCTCTCTCTCTCTCTCTCTCTGTGTCTCTCTCTCTCTCTGTCTCTCTCTCTCTCAGGCTCCGCTGAAGAAGGGTTTGACGCGAGTAGATAAACAGATGCGGCGTTTCGCAGATATCAAGCGCTTGACGAAGACGGGGCACGCGGTGAAGATCAGCGTGGAGGGGAACCGCATGCCGCTCTGAGATCCAGTCTTTGATTCTCCAGCAGTTCTGAGTCATATTGTGTGTGTCTGTGCTGTAGCTGCATTTGCTGTGTGTTCAGAGAGCTGCTCTGCGAATGTTTTGCCCTTTGGTTCTGATGTATCTTTCATAATAAAGAGTTTCCATGTCCGACATTTTACTCCTGTTCTCCTGGCCTTTTGCTTTTTATTTGATTTTGTTATATTTGCATATTAAAAAAAATGGTTTAGTTAGATAATAGATGGTGGTCTGTTTCTATTTTAAAACTGTAACGTAATTTTAAATATTTTTTAAAAGTATATATATATATAAATATATATATATAAAACTTTAAATGCAAGATGAAATGTACTCAAAGGAGAAAGTTTATATCTCTCCAAACTTAAAATAAATATTGAGTAGCTACAAAATGTATTTTGAAATATTTAAATTGATATATTGCCTCATATTTTGTGACCATATGTAAGTACCTAAGCCATATCAAAATATATTGAAATTTTTTTTATGTATATTAGCAATATTTGTTGTCAATTTTTGTATGTTTTGAAATATAATTGAAATATGAAAATATATTTTTTGGCATACAGGTTGCTAGGAAATGCATTGCTTTGCTGGGAAGACTAGTGGAAAAATAGGACTTGATCACTAAAAAAATAAGCGTAACACGTTTGTTGAACATTTGTTTTATTATTGTATGAAGCCACTTACAGAAAAGATGCACGTTTCATCACTTTTTTTTTAGTTATTTGATCTATTGCTTGATGCTTTGTAAGAAAAATAAAACAATAAAATATGCACAAATCATTAACAAGCAAAACATTGATAACACTTCACAAAAAGCTTCCAGTAATTCACATTAATGAACTACATTAACATGGATCATTAAAATCTTAGTTCATGTCAACATTTACTATTTCATCATTAAAATAAAAGGTTTTATCTGTTAATATTATTTAATGGATCAGCGCTAATATAGACTAACAAGCAACAGGTGTATTTTTAACATTAACAAATATTAAATACTGTAACAATATCTTGCTTATTGTTAGTTACTGTATTTACTTTAATAAGACGTTATAGTAAAGTGTTAAGTGCAAAAAAAAAAATAAAATAAAATAAGTTTTTCTTGACAATGGGGTTGAAAAATAAATTAGAGCATTTGTTTGTTTGTTTTTTTGCAGTGTCAGTTTTGTGATGTTAATGAAGAGAAAAGCTCCTACTTCAATTCAGACACGCAGACGTCGCTCCCATACGGCAAGAAATATTTTTTTTTTGTCTGGCCAAAATATGATTAAAATATATGCTAAATATTCTGTAAACAGTGAAGATCAACCAAAATATATTTCATAGTATTTCAGGGGAAAGAAAATACATTTCCAATCTTACAGTAGCCTACCTTCAATGTTTAATTTTTAAAAATATATTTGATCTTTTTATATAATGTATTTATTTACATATTTTATACAATTAATAATGTTTAATGTTTTACATATATTGTATTTTTTGGAACATTGTAATCTATATTCTTTGCTTATTTTAAATGAAACTGAAATTTTCACACGTTATATATTAATGTAAAAATTTTCTTTTTTTTGAATGTATTTTTTAAATTGAAATGTATGGAGGGCAAAATAATTTTTTTATGCTTTCGAAAATAAATTGTAAATGATTTTTTAGAAAGAACTTATATAAAAATATATTTTTATATATGTAAATATATTTTGAAAAATATTTCTTGGCCATTTTTGTATATTTTGAAATATATTGAAAACATATTTTTGAGTTTTTTCCCATATGTGTTACATTTACTGTAAATCATAATGGCATATGGAGGGTCAAAATTATATGTAATTATACATTTGTATGGGTCAAAATTATCCATTTTTCTTTATATGGAGCCACTAAAAGGTTAGCCGCTTGCTAGCGGTAGCCTGTTGCATTACAGTACATGAAAGTTCACTTACCACATACACAGAGTAAGGAGAAATGTCTGATAGGACGATGGCGAATGATTTGCAGATCCTGAGCACCAATGACAAACATCTAATCTTGTCAAATGTGTGGTAAGTCCTGCTGCTCCATAGTATAGAGTCCCTGTGATCGCGAATCTCGAAAGTGAAAGTGAAAGTAAAATGAGAGCGCGCAATCGAAAGCGGTTTCAATAAACACGATTCCTAACACCGTGCCTACACCGGACGCGAGTGGCGCAACAAAATATAATAGAGATTTATTATATATACATCAGTCTATAGAACTCATTATAATCAGTGATGCTGTCTACACTGGATGCGGCGCGACACAACAAATCCCCGACAGTAAACTGCCTCGTCCTATTTATGAGGTACTGACACAAAGTTCAAATGTCCTGTGTAGACACTCAACCTGGCGGTGTCGTGTCCGGTGTAGACACGGTTCCATCGGCCAACAGGTTTCAATATCGGCTCCCTGATGCCCGCAATTTATATAGAGTCGCCTATACTTACCCAACGATATAATAGCGAGAAAAAGTATTGAAATATATTCTTTTATCCTCCTATCTCGTAGGCTATTTATTCCATTTAGGGTTTCCGTAGTACACTTCATTTCCTTTCTGAACACAGAACTGGGATGCGGCGGATTGCGGTAGAGGTGGTTGGGGGGGGGAATCACGATGTCAGCTTAACATCGTGATGTCTGTCAGCCACTGGCGATGGACGATGGCATCGTCTATCGGCCCAACCCTACTAAGAACTTCCTTTGGACAACTTTAAAGGCAATTTTCTCAACATTTTGATTTTTTTGCACTCTCAGATTCCAGATTTTCAAATAGTTGTATCTCGGCCAAATATGGTCCGATCCTAACAAACCATACATCAATGGAAAGATTATTTATTCAGCTTTTAGATGATGTAGAAATCTCAATTTAGAATTAAATTGACCCTTATGACTGGTTTTGTGATCCAGGGTTACATTAATTTGCTTTAATTTTGTGAGTTTTCCCGCAGGAGACTACGATAAGATGCGTCCCGACAGAGACGAGCAGAAGATTGCGGTGCAGAAGATCGTGCTCCACCCTCACTTCCACGCCTAGGGCCTGGTGTCGGCGCGGGGGTCCACGGGCCTCCTGCGGCGCTCGTCCTGCTTCCTGAGGAAGGTGCTGCTGCCGGTGGCTGATCAGATGAGCTGCATCAACTCCACCGAGCACGTCATCACCAACAACATGTTCTGCTCCGGATACCTGCTGGAGGAGAGGGACGCCTGCACCTGGTTCCTGGCCGGCGTGGTGAGCTGGGGCGAGAGATGCGCCGCCGAGGGCAAGTACAGCGTTTACACCAGACTGGGAAACTACTTACCCTGGATACATGAGGAGATGATGAACGAGGAATCGGGACCCAGCCGGAGCCAATCCACTACTGAAGCTCCATAGCACTGCTGGGATTAAAACATAACCCACACGGCAAAACAAATAAGAGTTTGAAAAATATAACTAATATATATATATATTAGTGCTGTCAACTGATTAATCACGATTAATCATCGCATCCAAAATAAAAGTTTTTGTTTCCATTAAATATGTATGTGTGCTATGTATATTTATGATGTATGTATCAATACACACACATGCATGTATATATTTAAGAAAAATTTGATGTTTATATATTAAATATATTTATATATAATATAACATAAGAATATGAATATATAAATGTATAAACATGCAAATAAATTATTAAAATATATACTGTATGTTATAAACATGCAAATAAATTATTAAAATATATACTGTATGTGTGTGTATTTATGATACATAATAAATATACACGGTACACATACATATTTAATGGAAACAAAAACTTGGATGCAATTAATCGCGATTAATCATTTGACAGCACTAATATATATATATATATATATATATATACACTAAAATATAAAAGTTATATTTACACAAATATTTTCTACCAATATATTTTTTTGCAATTTTTTTGCAAATATAGTTTAAAAAATAAATTTTTTTTTAAAGCATTTATATTTTGCTTTATATTTATAGTGAGCATAACCAATTTAAAAATTCAAATATATTAAGCACCTTTACAGCTAAATAAAAAAAATGTATTTTCAAAAATAATTTTTACATTTATTTCAAAATAAACAAAACATATATATGACCATGGACCACAAAACCAGTCATAAGAGTAAATTTTTTGAAATTGAGAGTTATATATCATCTGAAAGCTGAATAAATAAGCTTTCCATTGATGTATGGTTTGTTAGGATAGGACAATATTTGGCAGAGATACAACTATTTGAAAATCTCGAATATGAGGGTGCAAAAAAATCTAAATATTGAGAAAATCATCTTTAAAGTTGTTCAAATTAAGTTCTGTCACATATATTTAAAGAAAAAACACAAGCGAGATTTGGGCAAAAGAATGTTTTAATTCACATTCTATTCTACAAGTAGTTACATTATTTACAGTATTTAAAAAAAAAACAACCAAACAAAGCAACAAATGAACAAAATGAACAGTGAATGTGTTAATATCTCAAACGTTTCTCAGTAATCCTTCATATAACATAGAGGACAGTGCGCATCTACCTGTCTGAAAGCAGCACCCGATTGAAGTGGATACTCCATGATAAGAGCTACACTATGGATTAGACTCTATCTGTAGTGTTTTAGAGGTAGACTACGGCTCTAGTCAGTAGTGTTGAATTAGGATTGTTAAAACAGATCAATGTGAGACTTTTCTCTCAAATAAAACTAAACTCAGCTGTCAAAATCGAAGGCCACTTCACCGTCAAACACTGCGGCCGGATCTGATTGGAGAAAATACAGTGGTGGCCAAAATGATTAGAACACTAGTATTTTCAGCAGCTAAAAATGGTTTTAAGTCAGTTATTTCTATCTTTTGCTGTAGTGTGTCAGTAGGAAATATCAGTTTACATTTCCAAACATTCATTTTGCCATTAATTGTAATAATCCAGTGAGATGTTTGTGCTGCACACAGAGATCTGATCTGATCATCATCAGTCTGTCTGAGATTACATGAAGAAACAGAACAAACTGAGACAGACTCAATCCAGAAGAACTGTGGCAACGTCTCCAAGACGCTTCGAGAAACCTACCTGCAAAGCAACATGAAAAACTCTGCTCAAGTGCACCGAGGGCAAAAGCTGCTTTAAACGCAAATTATATTCAC